AAACTGACCAAGGGAATTCATAGAAGCATAGATCCATCCAGCTCTTATCTCAAATAACAACTTAAAAGAGACTGTTTGACCAACACAAGGAATGTTAAAAGATTCATGTTAAAACGATAAAAAAATTAAAAAAAAACAAATGAAAACTACAGACAAAGTTCATCTTCTTCATCAAGACATTCATTTTCTGTAGTTTACTGCTACCAGCAAGCAGAAATATTTTTTCTCCCGATGATGGCCATTTTGGCCGAAACTAGTCGGGGAATCTAAATGAAACAATAATAAAAAAACGAAAGAATATTAATCTACAACCCAGTGTGTCTGAAGATTTCAATTTTTTAATATTTTTATTGTTCATATATATATATATATATATATATATATATATATATATATATATATATATATTATGTTTAATTTTAGTGCCTGGATAATACAATTTTGTAAATAAAAATGTATTTGAAAAAATTGATATCAGGGAAAAATTCCGTAAAAAAAAGAAAAAGACATCCGTGTTAATGAAAATAATCAATCAGCACCGATATGCATAATCGAAAGAACGAAAAAAAACACTGACAGCGTAAATTAAGTAAAAACATAAGATGCTCAATACACTAAGTAGAGAAAAGTATATATATATATATATATATATATATATATATATAAGAGAGAGAAAGAACAGATGGGCTAAATATCCACAGTTCGTAAAAAAAGTGCTCAGTATAAAGTAGAGCATTATATTAATATTAATTAATATATATATATATATATATATATATAACACTAATAAACATATAAATGTAAGCATCTATACTCGTCTAGCAAAACCTTAGGTGTTTTAACGTAAATGGACAAACCAATACCCAAGGGAAACAAAGAAAGAACTAAGAACATATACATCCGGCGAAAATAATCGTCTAGAATCTAAGATCAGAGTCTAAAGAAAAATATCCCCGACACGGGTAAAGTAAAAATAACTTAGTAAAGTCCTCAATACGGTAAGTAGACCAAACTAAGTAAATAAACCTAAAGAGCTAGACTAACCTAGCTGACAATTCGCGTAGGTGATACCAATTATGTTAGTCTCGTTCTTTGGGTTTATATATATATATATATATATATATATATATATATATATATATATATATATATATAAAAAAAAAGTACTTTTGTATTGAGCACTGTTTGTTTTTTTTTAAATAAAAACAATAATAATATAGAACTTCGGATTACACACACACACACACACACACACACATATATATATATATATATATATATATGGAAAGATACACCAAAACAAGCACGTCCTATGAATAGGTATCACGCGACCACGGAGATGCGTGCTTTTACTTGATCATGACTATCTAAATGTTTAAACCATTGATTTATTTTCCATGGACAGACCATTTATACAGTCAAGGACGAAATTATTCGTACACCCATCAAATTTGAAGTTTTATCCATTTCACATGATGCCAGTTATTTTATATATTAATAAGCACAAAAAAGAATATAAAACTCAATTTGCAGAACAATAAGTTAAATACAACAAATTTGACAGGCGAATTATGAAATATAGGAAAAGACAAAATTATTCGTACTGTATGAAAAATACAAAAAAAAAATAAGCATATTTACAATATTAGCAATCAATAGCATGGCCTCTCATCTTTATAACTTAATGCAATCGTTTTCTAAAGTTTTTGATGAGATTCAAACAAGTCTTTTCTGGGATTTTCTTCCATTCTTCAATTGATGCTCGTTGTAATTTCTGAACGTTTCTTTGGTGACCGATGGTTTATTCGAACTTTTAATTCTTGCCATAGATTTTCAATAGGATTCTAGTCGGGAATCATCGAAGGTCATGGTAGAATTGTAATCTTCTTTATCTGAAGCCATGCAGCCACTGATTTAGTCGTATGTTTGGGATCATTCTCTTGCTGGAAAGTAAATCACCGACCTAAATGAAGATTTTGTAATGATAGTTATAGATTTTCATCCAGAATTTTCATATAGTCTGCAGATTTCATTGTTCCTCTTATTGCAATTAATTGCCCAGTCTCCCTTGAGCTAAAACAACCCCAACGTATCCTTTAGCCGCCTCCATGTTTTAATATTGCAACTGTGTTCTTTGGGAAGAAACCTCACCTTTCATGCGCCAAAATATCTGCACATCTGTTTGTCTAAAAAGCTCAATTTTTGTTTCATCACTCCATAGTACTTGTATCCAAAAGAAATTACCTTTGTCCAAGAATGATTTTGCAAAATTATACCGAGCAACAATATGACACGGTTTGTGAAGATGTGTTCGTTGCGGCCGCAAACAATTTCTATTTAAACAACGTTGTATTGTTCGAGTACTTACGCTGATATCCATCGAATCCAAACTTTAGGCAATGTCTTTCAAAACAACTCTTGGGTTTATATTTACTACGCGATACATTTTTTTTTTTTTGCAGTTCTTGATGAAAATCTGAGTTTTCTTCAACGCCCAGGCAAATTCTCTGTCATGGCAAACTGTTTAAACTTCTTTATAATGAACTGTACCGTAGATCTCGTTATAGCCAAGCGGTTTGAAATAGAACTGTATCTATTTCCCGACTTGTGGAAGTTAATAATTCTCTGTCTCATGTCAACGCTAAGCTCTTTTGTGTTAATCATCGTGCTGTTAACGTAAAAATAACAATGGTGGTACTCTATGCACCACGAGATGTTCTTTGCTAGAATTATCAAAATATTCTACTGAATAAATAGTCTAGACGGTTTCGCCGATAAAATAATTATGTAAATTACTTATACTTACACGAACCAATAAATTTAAAACGATATTTTCTACTGTACGAATAATTTTCTTATTTACTATTTTGTATAAATCGCCTGTAAAATTTGTTGTATTTATTCTATTGTTTTGAAAATTGAGTTTTGTATTCCTTTTCTGTGTTTATTAACATATAAAAAACCTGGCCTCATACGGGCATTAGATTCTGTGAAATGGATGAAAACATTTAAAATAATGGGTCTATGAATAATTTCGTCGTTGACTGGATATTAAAGTGTTTAAAATCTCACGGAAAAATATTAATACCAAATAAATTACATATGGGTCGTATGGAGGTGTACCGTCAGTGGTAGTACTTTAGCATTGAACGGGTCGACCCTACTTTACTCAGGTGAACTGAGATGCGGAACTGTACTTGTCCACAGCCTATATCGCACTCTCACACATGACTCCTAGAACGGCTAAACTGGGTGAGAGGAGGCGGAAGGATTTTAGATCTCTCCGTGTCCCACCTGTGCTAAGCGGCCATCGGCCAGTTGCCAGCCTCGGCATAGAAGCTGCGTCTCAGAGGCTAACGTTTTACCAGTGGGAAGAGGAACTTCTGAGAGGAGAAACGAATAACCTCAACATCCACGGTGCAAACGAAACCGGCAAGTCATGGCACTATTTTACCTTGAATGTCACCATGAACAACAATTGGAGGGGTGTGGTGACCAAAGGGGTGTAAAATGCGCTGAATAAATGATGATCATAAAATTAATTATATACAATACTGGAACAATATTTACATTATCCGGACTATTGTCCTCATCTCTGTCACCATATTTATTACAACGTTTTGGCTGTTGTACGCTCCAGCCTTCTTCAGGTGGTTGGAATAAAGAACTGAAGCCTTTATTTCGCTCACTGGTGTAGACTGTTCTAGTTCCACGTGCCATGTATAATAGATGCCAGTTATCAGTTATCTCCTGTTAATTACCCTCTCCTAGTTCTCCACTGCCTTAACCAGGTATTGAACTCACACTCTTTGGGTCCTGTCACAGTGGATAAATGCGTTAGTTAAATCCAGTGTCAGGACACAAAGAGTGTGAGTTAAATACCTTGTTAAGGCGGTGAAACGTTGTAATAAATATGGTGACAAAGATGAGGACAATAGTCGGAGTAATGTAAATAGTGTACTTAAAACCTCATCTCAGAAATATAGACAAATAATGAAGAAGGCTGAAGCATACAACGGCCGAAACTTTGTTATAAATATGGCAACATAGATGAGGACAATAGTCCGAATAATGTAAATAGTGTACATAATACCACCTCTCAGAAATATAGACAGATACTGAAGAAAGCCGGAGCGTACAACGACCGAAACTTTGTGATAAATATGGCAACAAAGATGAGGACAATAGTCCGAATAATGTAAATAGTGTACATAATACCTCATCTCAGAAATATAGACAGATAAAATACTGGGAATAGTAGATTTTTCCTTCGAGGAAACTTTTGACAGTTATTGACCGAGCAGCCAGTAGTGACGTCGATTGGTATTTATAAAAATCTTTCTATTTAAATAAATTTTCATTAAAATAGGTTTCTGAGTCAAGTAGCTGTTATTGCTCTTTCCCGTATTGATGGGGGTTTCCTTCTTAAACTTGTAATTGTAGTAGTGGGGAATGTCAGCATCTTGATTATACAGAAAGCTATTGTAAAAAGAATAAAGAAGCGAATTCTAGTACAGATCATTCATACAATATGACTACATAAATTTTTCAAAGGAGACAACTGAGAACACGCAAATGAAGTGAGGTTAACGAGGGATTGTTCTCATTTTTAGTCTCAATCCCCGTTCACATAACAATTCTATTTCTCTTGAATGGTTTCGTCCTATCGGTAATTGTCTCATGTATTCAACTTTCACGTCTGCATCTTGCACGCTAACGAACACATCTCTTTCCGTCCACTTACTTTATACTTTGTTTATCGTTCGTTGAAACGATCTTGTAACTGTCCTTGTCCTCTTATAGAAGCGCGTCTTTGTACCACTTGAAACGCGACAAAATAAAAGGCCAGCTCCTTCGTGACAGGATATTGTTTGCGGATTAGATGTATTTCAAATCAATCATTCAGCGAACCGAAACGGAAGTTACTCGTGTCCAATGCTCTTTTGGCGGGAAATTTTTTGGATTTTTGTTTTGTTTTGTTTGTTTGTTTTTTTTTCAAGGATTTCTTTCTTTATCTTTTACATAACTTTTCTTTTTTTAATATTATTTATTCTTACTATCTTTGACTCTGTCCTTTTCTCTCCGTATTTTTTTCTTTTGATCTCATTCTCTTTCATTTTCTTTTTCTTTATTAACATTCCTTTTTCTCAGTCCTTTTCTTTCAACGATTATCATTCTCTAATGTTTTGTTTTGTTTCGTTTTTTTTTTTTTGGCGCTTTAACGTTGTTTCTGTCTCCTTCCTTCGCAAGATTTTCCTTTCGTATGACTTCATTCCTTATTTCATTTTCAGCCTTTTTCTATACTCACCCTTATTCTACAGGTTTTTCATTTTATATTTTCCTATCTTAGCCTCTCTTCTTTTCTCTCTCTATGCTTTTTTTTCCTTCCAGTCTCTTTCATTTTCCATTTCTATTTTTTTTTTATTTTCATTCATTTTTCTTAGTATTTTTCATTCAATTTATCTCATTCTACAATGTTTTTTTTTTTTTTTTTTGCTCTTTCACTTTATTTCTGGCTCCTTCGTTTGCAAATATCTTCATTTCGTATGATTTCCTTCTTTGTTTCATTTTAGCCTCTTTCTTTATTTCCTCTTTTTCTTACAATTTTACATTCGTATTTCCTTCTTTCTTTTTATCTCCGATTCGTTTCTCTCGTTTTCCTTCTATTTAATTTCATTCATTTTCTTTTTTTTCTAATCATTATTTTTTATCTACCACCCCCCACTGTATTCTCATTCATTTTCTTTTTTCTTTGTTTTTTTTTATTTTCATTCCTTTTCCTTTAATTGCTTTTATTCTCTAACGTCTTTCTTTTTTATTTATTTATTTATTTATTTTTTTGTCGTTTCCCTTGTTTCCTTATCGAACTCCCCCCTCTCGATCTATTATTATACTTCAGCATTTTGCTTATTTGCCCCCCTCTCTTTTGCAATCCAAGAAAACAAACTTTCTGGACATATGCGGAACGAGAAAATTGATGACGTAGGTAGACCTTTAAACGCAAATACAGAACCTGGGAATTTGCCGAAATGAAATAAAGAAGACGCCATCACCCTGATCGAATAACGCATCAAAAAAAAAGGAAAAAAAAAAAAACAGTTTTTTTTTTTTTTTTTTTTAAGAAACAGGGAAGTTTAATCGGGATTTTTCTGCAGCAAATCATCATCCAGTAAAGCAAGAATCCGTACTTATCGACCGAACAGTTAGCTATACTGTCGGTTGAAATTCATATAATAATAATAATAATAATAATAAAAAAACTACTTTTCAGGAAATGTGCTATATCTGTTATTGCACTTCTCAGTATTCAGAGGGCTTCCTTCCTTAACCTTTTTTCTAGCTGCTCTACTCAACTTCCTGTCATCTACACTAAATACACGTTGATGTGTAAATCAGCAGCTGGAAGTCAAATTCAAGCATAAACATTAAAAAAAATACACTAGAAATAATGTTAAGCCTTCACACATCGAATCGACAGGAGATCATTCATATATATATATATATATATATATATATATATATATATATATATATAATTATTTATTTAAAAATATGATTCCAAATCGCGACATAAGAAGTCCCATGTTTCAAAACAAGGCCGAAAACTTCAATATAATTATTTAAATTAAATTGAGTTAAAATAAGCTCTGTTCCATCTTCAAGCAATTTTTTTATTTTCTATATATTTTCATATTCATATATATATATATATATATATATATATATATATATATATATATATATGATCTCTCTGTCGATATATATATATATATATATATATATATATATATATATATATATAGTAGAGTAGATAATAAGTTGGTCAATAGACAAAGTCAAACGAAAGGCTACCGATGAAATTATTACGAAAAACATTTATTAGGATTTACCAGGTGACAAAAATGAAGCAGGGAGAGTGAGGTTCCAAGTTCGGAATTTTCGAACACGCCTGTGTTCTTCATAAGAGGATGCGAGAAATAAACAGAGTGACGGTGGAAATAATCCAACGTTAGTTTTTTTTTAGGTGGGTAGATTCCGCTTGTAGGTGGGATTATTAGAGAAAATCCGTTCCCTGTTCGATTTCACGCTGTGCGAAAGCAAAATCTTTCAGCACTAATACCGCACCCATCCCTGTCTCTACAACCCCTTCTTCCATTATGTTCAGCATCTCACTCCCCTGTTACCCACCACCAATCACAATTTTTAAATCTGTGGTTATTTTCACGTTTCCCACAGCAAGAAATATAAGCACTTATGGCGGGGATTACAAGTATTAAAGGATTCTAAGTATTCGCGACAGGTTCTGTTCCCTAACCTCGGAGAATACGGGGGACTATATATATATATATATATATATATATATATATATATATATATATATATATATATATATATATAATACGACAGACAACTTACTTTCATTTAGTTTTTTTTTATAATTTATATATAATTTCTCATGCGATCTAATAATTTTTTTTTCTTTTCGGATAATAAATTATATAAAAACTGCCCGAATCTTCTTTCTATCCAAGCGCTTTCGGCTGTACATTTAGCCATTTTCAAGGATTAAATATTTTAACTGTTAATTAACAAATAGTTTTTTGTATGTATGTTTTATAAAATGTTTCATTTTTCAAAACACAGTCAAGATATTATGTCCATGTTCAATGTTAATACTATTAAGTGTTGATTTTTTGTTTTTATTAATAAGGCTTCCATTATTTTTAGCCTTTTTTTGCATGTAGATGATGCTATTATATTAGTGTTATCAACAAGTATGTTACGAATAGTGTCCGGTATATTTAAATGAGATTTAATTGAACTATGGTCAGAAATGTGTAAAGTGAGTCTGCGTGTCAAACATGTTGTAGTGTGGCCTATATAATTATTTATGAATTTCTTATTTAACAGTTAAAATATTTATTCCTTGAAAATGGCTAAATGTATAGCCGAAAGCGCTTGGATAAAAATATCGTTCCGACAGTTTTTATATAATTTATCATCCGAATAAAATTATTAGATCGCTTGAGAAATTGTATAAAAAAACTAAATAAAAGCACCTTGTCTGACGTATTGAATGAAATGTGCATGAAAGAAGGAATGCTGCCTAAATACTCACACACACACACACACACACACACACACACATATATATATATATATATATATATATATATTGATATAGGTTTCATTAAATAATATAGACAAGATTTGTCTATTTATTTGAAGTAAGTTCCTTTCATATTGTCTGATAGGCTTAATAACATTATCATTAAAAGACGAAAGGAAATCACCATATTGATACATGTTTTAATACTATCTAACTTTTCGGCTTACATAAGCCATTATCAAAGATGACAATTACATTTCAACATATCAAACAATACACGGACAAAACAATAATGATAGTCTGATTTTGTTGCGTGAAAAATTTCAAAGCAACAACAAATTCGTGTATACGAGACGCGGAAGCGAAAATCGCAACGCAGTTCGTGATGTCACACATGACCACACGAGAGTGAAAACGAGAAGTATTAAGTATGGGAAGCCGTTGGTATAAACCAATGGCTTCTGTTATCAATTATAGACATTTAAGAATATTTGTGGGGATTCCATAGTTTATTTTGTTCAGGTTAGGTTGTATATGAAAGGAACTTACTTAAAATGAATAGAAAAATCTTATCTATATTATTTAATGAAACATGCATCAATAAAAAATTGATGCCTAAATACACACACACACACACACACACATATATATATATATATATATATATATATATATATATATATATATATATATATATTTTGCCAAACTTTATTTGATTTTAACCTAAATATCTTCAGGGAGAAATGGTTGATATAATTCGTGACTATTTGTCAGTTAATTGTCATTCGAACGAACACTCTAGAAGAATGTGTTAGCTTGAATTCTTGAAACAATATCGACCAGTGACAAGACTCGTCATAAGAAAACAAATATTGACATCCAATCCTTAGAAAAGAGGAGGTTGACATTTACAAAGTACGAGGTTTCTAGAAACGAACATCGTCAACGAAAACTCAACCAACAAAAATCAATATAATGCAGACACGCCCAACGTATTCGTGTATAAGTCGATTTTATGCTTCAGCTAATTTTTGAGATTTATTTACTAATATATTATATAGGTTGCTGTCACTGTTTATATCATCGTTATACCACCTTAATTATTTCTTAATGTCATCCTTCAAGATTTAAACAATTATGACTCTCCTTTAATTTATTATTTGTTAACTGCCATGATATATTAGGAAAGATAATAAAGTGGTTTCCAGTACATTTCTTCATTGTTTTTAAATTCAAAACTATCCTCATAGACTGACTGTCATGGAATGCTTCAAACCCAGGAGGTTGACAGAGAAGAATATATTCTTGCCTTTCTCAAGGACCTTAATACGAAGTTTATGCAACACGACTTCCAGTTTTCATGTCAGTAAGTGATACGTAACTTGCATATCCACCTTTATTATTATTAAGCATCTTGTGTTGTTTGTAAATCGAATAATTTGCACGTTCGGTCAACTTCCTTGGTTTGGTTTGGTTTGTTTTGTTTTACGGCATATCAAAGTCAATGTGTTATTTAATGCCGACACGATTCTTATTGCTGGTAGTAAGTTTTCAAAAAATGTATTGCTGCTAATATATTTCCTTCAAAAATTTATTGCTGGTAATAATTTTTATCCTTCAAAAATCTATTGCTTGTAATAATTTTTACAAAAAAGTATTTCTCTATTAAAACCTATTTTTTCACTTTCACAGTGTTTCGACACCATTTCCCTGGAAGGATCAACTATTTGCCCATAGCTGAGGACGTAACAGGTGCTAAAATCCCTGGTCATGGTCGACCTGAAAATTAAGAGGTGACTCCACGCTTCTCAAAAATTCCTGATTAGAGGCCTTGCTGTCGGACGTAGTTTATCGTCTGACCCAGGACACGGATGTAGTATATTGTCTTACCCAGAACGAGGATGTAGTTTATCGTCTTATCCAGGACGCGGATGTCGTTTATAGTCATACCCAAGACGCAGTCGATATTCTATTGGACTTATCAATTAGTCGCGATTAAGAAATTTGCACGTCAGCCATTGAGAACCAAAATATTGAACGAAGAACATAGGACAAATCTATTATATATATATATATATATATATATATATATATATATATATATATATTTCATTTCAACTTTTGGAAGTAAAGTCTGATGATCCAGAGCCCTGTAAAAGGGTTGTGGTGAAATAACTTATTACATGGGACCTTAAAGTGAACTGTTTTTATTCAAACATATTTGCTCTGAACTTACATTGAGCTCTCTGGATATCATCCCCTTTGGGTCTACCCATACGGATTACCTAGTTTTTCATAAACTAAATACATACATTTATTTATTAAAGACATTTTTATGTTTAACGTTGTTATTTATAGATACAAGTATTTAAGCAAATGCTCTGTTTATGATAAACAGTATTAAATAACATTTACCGGCCTTATTTGCTTACATATATATATATATATATATGTAAGCAAATATGTGGATATAGATCCGACAATATGAAGAAAAATATACTGAAAAAACAAGCAAAATCCTCATATGCGATTATGCTGCGGTCTATGTTAATTATGTTTTA